GAGCAGCCACTTACCAATCAACTGCCAGGTGCTGTTTTACTTTTTCACTTTAAATCTGCTGGTAACTGACCTTTACTGCTGCAATTCTGAGTCAGTACTTTTTGGAAGACGTGTCAGCTTGAGGCAACGTGCACTCAGGCACAGAGAAATGTGATTATTGGTTGTCTGGTTGCTTTTGTCCTCCTCTACTTCCTTGTTATGTCCACACCCAGGAATTTTTTGAAAAAATGACCGATTAAGGGATTTTATGATATTGCTGCACTTTTAAACATGGCCTGACTCTTATGATTTGTAGGCAGGAAGAGATGGGTTTACTGGCATAGTTTTTCTAGCTTTCATTTTCACTCTGGTGTTAACATCATGAAATTTTCCACTTTGCCTCATTGTTGTTTGCCTAGACTGGGCGATGGCAAATGAAACCTTACATTTTTCACCCTAAAACTGCTTTTTAATATACCTTAAATGTGCATAAAGTCAAAAGGGTCCGGACAGTAGATTTGTAAAGTGTCTCAACCTGAGCCTGTGATTCCAGTCTATGGCTTTTACATTTTTTCACCTAAATTAATTGCAGCAAATCAATCAGTTTGAAGTCTTATATTTTGATTTTTAAAAAATAGGCACTTTTTCCATGTCTCCATTACGCATTTGAAGGAGTGTGAGGAAGTAGAAATTTCTAGTCTATATTATTTTGTAATTCTCTGTAGGATGTGGACTTCTCACCATTTCCATCTCCATTCTGTAGTGAAAGAACATTTTCAATGTATTTCACCCATGAGAGCTTTAAGGCCAATGACACTTTAGCATACCCAAGTGAGATTAGCAAGCAGTGAGAAGTAAAAGTAAGACCAACCGAAGAGATGGGACACCTGTAACTTCTGAGGAGTTTTCATCATACAGCTCTTGGTTTCTTCACAGTCCGTGTGTCACAGGCTTTCTCTTCAATTTCTGGTACATTTGGTATGTAGTGTAGGAGTTTGGGAACAGGTTTAATTTATTGATTGATTGATTGATAGGAAACATTTCTGAATCAAAAGCCTGGAATTGCTAGCAAGCAACTTGTAGACACTTTCCCAGTGTGACCTGACACCCAGTCAGTGGCACAAATCCTCACCGTTGTTGTTTACATATTTACTTACCTCTGAACTGACAGAGTAAGGAAGCAATTTCTTGTGGCTCAGCGTCAGGTTGTTCCAGGCATGGGATACTGCACACAGAGAAACTACTTATCTTAGAAGATCTTTTTTAAGCATGTAACATATAGTGAGGTGTTGCCAGGGAATTGATGTCTTTTCTGTAGTCAAGTGACAGCAAGCAAGCTGGAAAGCGTGAATAGCTGATGAAGAAAAAGGAACTTCAGCCTGGAAAAGAAACAGAAATTGAGTTGTTGAAATGTTCTTAATGAGTCAAATGATTTAAATCATTTATACCACAAAGGAACATAATGAGCATTTTACGGAAGAGCATGAGTCCATTTCCATAATGCAAATGGCCTTTCATGATCTGACTCCCTTTTAATTGATCAGCTTAATCTTATTGGTATCTCATCTGAAGTAATTAGACAGTTCTTTTGCTGTGAGTTTTGCTCCTAATACTGACTTGCACTTCTCTGGTGGTTCAAAAATTACTTGGTCACAGCCAGTCTTGCTAACAGGGTAATCTATATGGACTGGCTTCCACAGGGTCCACTGCTATTCTTTTTTAATGCTTCTGTGCTATTGGTACTTTAAGGACCAAATTTTCTGTTCAACCAGTGAGGTTAATCAAAAGGAGTAAAGCAGGAGACAGAGTACATCTCCTCAGGAGTAGGAAATGCGTAAAGAATGAAGCCGTCAGTTTGTAAATGAAAATTGAATACCTCTTCCCTATCGTAGGTTTGCCAACCATATCCTGGATAGCATCAGGAGAAGCATGATGAGTAGGTCGAGGAAGGTGATTCTGCCCCTTTACTCTGCTCTTGTGAGACCCCACCTGGAGCACTGTGTGCAGTTCTGAAGTGCCTAACACAAGAAGGACAAGGAGCTGTTGGAGCAGGTCAAGAAGAGGGCTGCAAAGATGATTAGAGGGCTGGGGCATCTGCCCTACAGGGACTGGCTGAGAGAGCTGGGGCTCTTCAGCCTGGGGAAGAGAAGGCTCCAAAGAGATCTTATAGTGGCCTTCCAGTACCTGAAGGGGGACTAAAGAAAAGCCAAGGAGGTACTTTTACAAGGGAGGATAGTAAAAGGCCAAGGGGAAATGGTTATAAACTAGAAGAGGTAGATTTAGACGAGATATCAGGAAGTTTTTTACTGTGAGGGTGGTGAGACACGTGAGGAACAGGTTGCCCAGCAAGACTGTGATACCCCCTCCCTGAAAGCACTCAAGGGGCTGCGAGCAACCTGAGTGAGAGGGGAAGTGTCCCTGCCTGTAGCAGGGGGTGGGAACTCGATGATTTTAAAGGTCCCATCCAACCCAAATCTTTCTATGATTCTATAGGTCGAATTTTTAAAGTCTTAGATCTTCTGAGATGACAAATGTTCAGAGATGGCTGCAGTGTTACATTTCTAGTTTGTGATCTTGTATGGAATGTTTCTGAAAGGTCAGTGTAGGCATGTCTCATGTAGATTGATAGGCAAGAGAAATTAGAAGAAAATCTCTAGTGATTTAGGAAAAGTTGGAACAATGGAAAAGTGTGTCTTTGGGATACGTGAAGTTAATAAAATAAGCTCATTATCATCAGCTTTGCCTGAGTTTAGTAGACCTTTTAGGACTTATGTTTGTCTGATCTCTGAGGAGCAGCCATACAAATACAGTTTGTTATTTAAATGTTTTCAAGAATACAGCTTCTTAAGTTGATGCAGAATATTGCAGTGAAAAAATGTGACTTGATTTTTCATGAAATTGCAGAATAGGTCAAACATTCTGTTCTGAAAGGGCACCTCTGTCATCAAAGTTAATATAAGAAGAGCAAGTACTTCTTGCACTTTGTTACGGCAGAGGCACAAGTGGCAATAAAACAAAATCTGTGGAATTGGTTTTCTGATGAAGGAATATTGCAGACACCATGGAATGTTTGTGGAAGGAGGACGCTGAGTTTGTTTTGCTAATCTCTGGCTCCACCTGAGAAAAGTGTGGTGAGATTTTTATTGCTGGTTTTGGTGAGTATAAAAATAGGTCCTGCTTGAAAAACTGGTGAATAAACAGTTCACTGAATGGCTGTATCTACTGCCAGTACATTAAACAGTGCTCATGAGGAAAGATGTTCCTCCTCTTCTGGTAATTCTAAATGTGACTTTTCTTACCAAACCCGTGTGTAGCTTTTCTTTGTTTTCAGCAGTCTCCAATCAAGGAGAAGCAGGAAGGGTGTATAATAAAATCTTAGAAATTGAAATCATTTAAATATCTACAAAGATGCATCTTTTTTTCAGTACTGTGTGAAGATTCTTTATGCTTTAATAAATTTAAATTTATTAAATTTAGATTTAATAAAAAATGAAAGGATACACGCAATTTTTAAATCCTGACAAAACAGCAACTGTAAGATTAATATAACCTTGTTTTTCATTTCTGAACTTCTTTTACAGTTCTGACACTTTCAATTTGACCATTGACACACACAGTTATTTAAAAAAAATGTGAGCATTCATGAGTAGTGAATGCAGAGAACACAAGCATGATACGATCAAGCAGATGAGTGCTCCAACTGTGGACAACTCAAGTCTCTGTTTCAAGAGGTTCTTCTTTGCAACCCTGAATGTGATATAAATACAGGTGTATTCATGCATGAACCCAGGTACCTGTAACCTCATCAGTGAGTGCCTTACACAAGCACTTAATATTCACTTCTAAATAGCAAACTGAGACATAGAGAAAAAAATGCCTTGCCCAAGCTTGCCCAGTAGAAAAGTGGCAAATGAAAAGAGAATCTGTTTCCTTGTTTCTTGTATAGCCTTGTGCCAAATTTCTGCAGACCCTTGATCAGTACATGTAAATCTTTCTGTCATTATTACTGTAATTTGAAAAGACCTAGAAAGTTTTATAACATGGCATTATTCAGTCATACATAATACTCATGAGGAAACAACTCAGGATAAAGTCCTTGAGACTTTGGGACTGACATACTACAGTATTTTTGAGTCAGCAGCTGCCTAAAAGCTCTGTGTTCTGTATGCCACTGTCAGATCCCAGATTGCTTGTGCCTTCTAGAACTTGGGGGGAAACCCAACTCTGTACTGTATTTATATCCACGTTTTGTCTAAAATCAGCTCAGTAGTCCCACCTTCATCATCTGTCTGTCCTTCTGGTGTTTACATATACAACATTATATGAACAGTTTATACTTCAGGGAGTTGCAGTTTCCTTCCAAGTTAACATGTTGGTAGAACACAAAAGGGCAAACCTCACAGGCAGCAATGACTGCAATATGGAGACTTGTAGAGGAAAGAATTCTACAAATGCTCTATTGATAAAAGTCTCTTAAGGTTATACCAAAAATAAGGAACTAATATATTACCAAGTGTATATTCATGTTAAAATACCTGTCTTAAGTTTAAGTGTTTATTTAAACACTTTACTGGTCAATCTCCTTAAGGTCTATGATTCTGTAAAATTGCTCTAAATTCATTATGAAAGCCACAGGGTTAGTCCTGTAGCTCCTAGCTGAGTGTACAGGAGAACAGCCTCCTAGGGGCACAATATGAGCTCCTTCAGGGTGTATTTCTTCTATTTTAATATTGCCTGCAGACTTCTGTGAAAAAGTGCGTCCTGCATCTACGACTGAGAACTGTAGGAGTCAGAATTGCAGCACACTATGTGAGGGAAGGGATACTTGGAAGAATTAGTCACAGCTCTGTCACTGATTATTCAATACGTAATGCAGCAGCAGCACCTCGGCTATGTGCCCTCCCTCCTCAGAGAGTGTGGGAATTTTAGGGATTCCCCCTTTGACCACTGTCTATTTGTAGTCTCAATCTGCTGTTTTGCATGCATAGCTCTAGGGTATATAAAATGCTTTGGCTTCACAGGAGGGATACAGAGCAGGAGAGAGTGAAAGAAACCAACTTGCACAGAGAAGTCCCTCTCCAGGTTTGGAAACATCTCTCACAAAAACACGGTAAGGGCACTGTGTCTCATTGGAATTGTCTCACTGTGTCTCAATGGAATCAGTCTCCTTTTGTTTCCAGGCTATCCTGCTACTCTGAAAACTTCATCCCTCTTCCAGCAGACTTTAAAGGTTTGTGGGTGAAATGGGTAATACCATAAATGTTCTTTGAGCAACTCTGTTGTGAAAGCATAAAATGCAAGCAAGTTATTATACTAATTGCTAATGAATGGAAAATATGTGCATCCTTTTTAATGTCTTTTTTTTCTCTCTTGTTCTCTCTGGTTCATGCTTTTTCTTTCACCCTCTTTACTGTTCTCTTTATTTTTTCTGTTTTTTTTTTTTTCTCTTTTTTCTTTTTTTTCTCATCTTTCTTTTTCTTTGCTTTTCTTCTTCCCTCTTCATTTTTGCATGCTTTAAAATGACACACAGTAATATCATTTGTAATAACACACAGGCACACTGCAGCATTTTTTATTGCAATATAGTGATCTAGATGTGTTCCTAATTTTGTAACTTTTGTAATTTTGTACACAAATGGTTATTGCACCCTGTGTTTTTTTCTTGGGTTAACAGACTAGTTCTAGCACCTTTCAGTTTCTGCACAGACAGTTACATTCTTTTATTTTCCTGCGTGGTTTGACAGCACACAGCATCCTGGCCTAAAATGTGACTTATGAAACACACAAACTCTGTGACTAATTCTGCTTTACCAAGCAATTTTTTGCTTAGCTCCTTTTTTCCTGACACACCTTCACTGGCACAAAAATCTCCTTTTGGCAGAAAATCTATGTTATAGTAAATAAAAATAAGCTGCTTACAGTCTTATATAAATGCTAGATTTTACATTCAAACAGTGCCATGTATATGTATCTCACAACATACAGAATTCAGCATCTTAGAATTCCATTTGGTTCAGACAACTGAATATATTGCAAAATGCTTTGATTTAATTTAAAAACTTTTTTTTTCTGATGATAATCACTATATGAATAACAGCAAAATTTTACATCCTTTTTTTCTTGCATAGATGCAGTGATATGAATTAGTACAACGTTTAATGACACATTACAAACTTTTGAAAAACAAAGAGCATTTCAAGGTGTGTCTTTCAGAGAATTTAAGCATGGATGTGTTGGCTGTTTTATGCTATCATTTACCTAATAATAGAGTAAAACATGGCTGTGGCATTACTAAAAATAACGGTTCTCCTTGTCACTGTGTCATTACTATAAGTATCAAGTAAGTTTTCCTTTTTAAATGCTGAAAGTTAATTAGATCAAATTCGCTAATCTGCAGAGTTTCTGCATCCTCTTAAAGGGAGTTACCTTCTTAGTCAAAAACTGACCTTGTGGTTTTATTCTCTCCTCAGAAGCGTTCCCACATCGCACAAAACAAGATTTCAGCGCTGTGAAGTAAAAGCATAAATAAAGTGTACAAAATGCTGTGCCCATGGCAGTTTGCATTCAAACCTCGTGTTGTTAAGAATCAGTCCTCTGAAGAGAAGGATATCAATAATAACGTGGAGAAAGATACAAAGTTCCATGGGTAAGATCTTTGTCACAGTTCTGTGGTTTTGCTTTTGTTTGAAAAGGAAAGATACTGTTGTGTGCTTCCACTGCAGTAACTTTAACAAAGGAGCAGTTATCCCTGGGGGCATTGGGTGGTGTTGATTTAGTAAGGTGGTATTGGTTTACTGAGGTACATTTAAGCTTTTGTATACCTCATTGAGGAAATAAAGCATTGTAATTAACTGTCATGGTTCTAAAGTTATCTGGTATGCCCTAATGGTTACATGTATGCTGGGACTGTGGAGGCGTTTGTGTGCTATAAAAACTTAAAAGTAAAAACTAAGCATATTGCTTTCTATTGTATTGTCTTTTTGTCTTTTAAAGCTTTGTGAAAGATGATGCCAAATTACACAGTATAAGCAAGAAGCAGATAGAGATGTCACCTATAATCACTTCAGCAGAGGTCAGTGATGGAGCGGGGTCTGTTTCTAGTTTCACTGATACTGACAGTTCACACAGATTGTGCTTGCTGCTCAGAACTTTCAGAGTTCTCATGCAAGGAGTAACTGTGGTGACATGAGGTTAGGGATGATGTGAGATCTTTGGATGAAAACTCTTTTCTTAATGAAAAGGTGCTTTGCTAAGTCAGTAGGACTGGAGTGCCAAATTCCTTTACTCCTTTGAAACCCAAGCTTTGTCCTTTCTCTAATTTTGTCTGATTTGCTTTTTTTTTTTTTTTTTCCAAAACTATGACTTTAAAATTACAAAGCTGTTTGTGGTGGCAAATACTGTTTGGTTAGTACAAAAACACTTTTGGCTGTTTCATATCAAGCCGTAGATCAGGTCAATAGTTTAATACTCAAATTAATAAATAGTCCTGTTGGAGAAGATCACGTCAGTCTTTGCCTTTAAGTTGTAGTATTCAATAGTAACATATAAATAAAATTGAAGCATTATGATATTTAATAGGTGTGAAGATAGTGTGTATTTTTATCTTTTCTATGGCCAGAAACCCCCACAGAATGGTATCAAAGCTTCAAACCAAATACCAACATGTCCTAGACGTGTAAAAGTAAGGAACTTGGAAAACGGATCCAGCCTTCTTGACACATTACACCTGACAGCAAAGGAGGTAAGACAGAAACCTAAGCAGTAATTTTTCTGAACTTTCTGAAGATCTGTAGTGTGACATTGCTTTGTAAAATGTTATTATTTTTCAGGTTATCAATTGTCGGACCAAAGCTTGCCAAGGAGCACTCATGACCCCAAAGAGCCTGGTGAGAGGCACTAGAGATGGGCCAGTTCCTCCAGCAGAGCTTCTACCTCAGGCAATAGACTTTGTCAAGCAGTACTACAGTTCATTTAAAGAGTAAGCTAACTGTATCTTCATTTGTGGAATAAAAATCCTCTGCCTTCCTGCCTGTGTGTGGGACTGGGCTGCTTAATTTCTTCAGAGGTATTGGCAGTTATATAGCATGCTTCCAAAAAAGAGGTGGTTATTAAAAATGTGAACAGAATCATTACTGCACTTCATATTATGCTTCTGCAATCCTAGGTCTTGAGATTACTACCATGGACTCTTTCAGTGCATTTCTCAGCCCCGTCCCTTCAGAGTGTGTTGCATTATAGTATACTAGAATAAGCAGGTTCTTCAGGGCTCTTCCAGAACGTGACTTTCTGTTTTCTTAACATTGGATGTTAATGGGATTGTCCCCTTCTCAGATTAGTCTTAGACATGTGGGTAATGCTTGCAGTTTGTGCTGTTCCAAGCATCTTTTCTCTGTTCTTTTATTGTATGTTTTCAAGGCTTTGGCCAAAGTATGGAAGGACGGGTGATGCCACAGAGCTTCTCAACCTTGCTCTGTGTTATCATCAACATAAGATTACTGAGCATGCTGAGAGCAATGCTTTAGCTTCAGGATTGTGTGTTTTTACAAAAATAGAGATGGTGCAGAGAGATCTTGTTGCAGGAAAAGCTGGAAGAGCTGCCTGAGGTCCAAGAATTTGCAGTGACAGTTTTCAAGTGACAAGCTTTCAGTGACAATTCACCATTTGCATATTTCACTATAAAATATTATTGGGATTTCAAAGGGACTCAGCCACATAATGCCTTCTTCTTTAGAGACTTTGAACTCTTCTACAAAGCTTTATTCCAACAGAATCTCTCAGAAAATTCCTGTTTTACATACAGACTATGGTTACTTGCCAGAGTATTACATTTGCACGTCTCTGTGCCTGTGGTATTTGATCACATTGATTTGCACCGTCTTATGTGCTTGCCCTTGATCTTTCATCTTGCTGAAAATGTGAAAACTCTCAGACAGTGCAGGCTATTTTCATTCTGTCTGTAGCCCAACAAAACAATTTTTGTCTGTGCTGTGATAAATATTTGCTAATGTTTTGACTTCATTTTCTATTATCAAACTAAAAAAAAAATTAGAGTTGGTTTCCTTAACAAAATAATTGCTCAGCACTTCCTTTTTTTTTTTTTTTGTGTCAGAGCTTTACTTTGCTCAGAAGACTTCTGGCCCTGTGAAAGTAATTGAACTTTGAGGGAACAGTCAGTTATTCCCATGTCGGGCTGAAGCTGGTCTATTTTCTAAGTTCTGTGTGATTGTGTTTGACATTTTTACCAAACTAGTTTGGAAAATCCAATTTAAACTGAAAATTTACACAGAAAAACTTGTCATCAATGGATATTTGCATTGGGTGGTGAAAGGGCAGTGTTACTAGTTCAGTTTCTATTATGGTAGTTCGTTCATGAGGCTAGTAAGCTGTCATTTGTACTCAGTAAGGCCAATTCCTAAATTCAGAAGCCACAAAAAAGTCACTTGATCAGACCTCAGTTAGAATCCTGTGTATTTAACTCATCCCTTTACCAGGAACATCCACTGCTTTGGATAAAAAATTTCAGATCCTCTGCTATTGCAATAGATAATAGTTGTAGTTTGGGGACAGAAGTGTAGTGCAATAGAGAGGATTTGGGAGCAGATGATGGGGACTTCATGCCTGTTCATGCCTGGAACATGGTGGGATTGCTCATCTTTTGAGGTAATGAATGCTTTCATAAATGAGAAAATACGTTGACCCATTTCACACCCAGATAGTGAGGATACTTGAGAAGGATGGATTTCTCAGTGTATATCAAACTTGCACTATCTGAAGCAGTATAGATACCAACCCCCTCCTTGGAAATGGGCTCTACCTGCATACTAGTACATAAAATCACCAATGCAGATGAAGGTCTCTTGCAAAAAGATGCTTTGCCACTGCAAAAAACATCCGAAACATCCAAAACTTGATGTTTTTTGCAGTGTCTGAGCTCTTCTTGACCCAGAACAAAAGAGGCATCTGCAATTTACATCAGTTGTAAGTAAAGAAATTTTCATTGTTTCTTTTCATGGCTGTTTCCTCTTTCACAGGTTAAAAATAGAAGAGCACCTGGCCCGACTAGAAACAGTGACCAAAGAGATAGAAACAACAGGAACCTACCATCTGACAAAGGATGAACTGATCTTTGCTGCCAAACAGGCCTGGAGGAATGCTCCAAGGTGTATTGGGAGGATTCAGTGGTCCAATCTACAGGTAGCTTATGACTCTAACAATTATGGCTGAATAGCTGTCTGCTGCACATTGGTGAAATGTGCCGATTGCCTCAATTGAGGACTGTCTTTCCTGTCCATATCATAAAATCAATATTTTCTTGTACTTCTCTGCTCCGTAGTAGAAGGAAAACTTATATAGGATTGGTTACAGTTAAGAACCAATCAAGTTATGGAAGGAGGTCCATCTCTTGGGCTTGGAGAGTTGTTACATGTGAAAATAAAAGAAAGGTAAAAATAAACCTTTCCTAGAAGTGAATTGAGAAATACTGATTTCCTATCCTTAGCTGTGTTAGAAAAATAACATGCTTGTATTATTCTTTCAAATTAATTTTTTCTTTACCTTTCTGGGGGAAACATACAGGTATTTGATGCACGTGATTGTAAAACAGCCAAGGAAATGTTTGAATATATCTGTCGCCATATTCAGTTTGCCACAAACAATGGAAATATCAGGTAGATCTCTTTTATTTCATTTGAATTTTAAATAACAAAAATTCCATCTAGGTCTGGTTTCAGAACTCCGCAATAGACCTGATGTGATCTATCTAAATATTTTGACAACTTGTCTGTGCTCTTAATTCTTCTGATACTTACGTGTTCCTCTCACATGTACCATCAACCATTTTGAAAGTTTTTAACATTTGTGGCTAATGTTGCAAAAATCCTTCACAATTCCTGGGGAAATAAATGATTTGAAGATTCAGGGAGATGAGTGGAAAGAATGAACGATTTTATTCTTAATGATGTTTATTTTAGAAATATAAAATAATTGCTGCCAGTAACAATTTGTATCTTAATAATCAGAATGTGTTTGATGTGCTGCTGTGATGTAATGGGGTTGGATCATTTCTCTGAGCAGATCAGCCATCACTATCTTCCCTCAGAGGACTGATGGGAAACATGATTTCCGTGTTTGGAACAGCCAGTTCATCCGATACGCTGGATATCAGATGCCAGATGGGTCTGTCATAGGAGACCCTGCAAATGTGGAGTTCACAAAGGTATAGTTCCAAATACAGAATTGTAACTGTTTTCCATCTTGATTAACTCACCCGTGTTTCATTTATTTTTCTTGTTTGTTTTTTCTAATGCAGTCTGGGAGGGAGCTATGTATTTCCTGCCCCACAGATTCTAGGTGCAGGCTGAAGCAACAGTTTGTTACTGTGCAGTGAAATACTCCCCTCCATCTCAGAACAGAGCTAAAACTCCTCTTAAATCTTGGTCTTGTTTGAGTGGGAAGACAACCTTTAGCACTGAGAATTTACCTCAGAGGGTTAACAGGAGGGAGGACTTCAAAAAAGAAATTCACTTTCTTTACTTACAGTTGTGCATTGAGCTTGGGTGGAAGCCGAAGTATGGCCGCTTTGATGTAGTTCCACTCGTTCTCCAAGCAAACGGCCAAGATCCAGAAATATTTGAATACCCGCCAGAGATTATCCTTGAAGTGCCAATGGAGCATCCAAAGTAAGCACACCAGGTGTAGCTAATCGCATTTTTGCCTCTGCCTCACCCTGGCAGGTGCTTATCCTGTGCTTGTGGCAGTCATTTTCTGAGTTCTTTGTTAGGATGAAATTAGAGTAAATTGTCCTGAAAGACAAAATGCCTGTTAGAACAGTAAAATGAGATTTAAATTAACAAAGTCTGTGGTAGTTCTGTTGGATTTTTTTTAATATTCTGCATTTCAATCAGATTCAGAATTAAAAAACAAACAAAAAACAAAAGACACAAAAACAACACAGCTTCTAATGCCAGTGGAATACATGTAAAATATGGTTGCACTTGCAACAAAATGCTTATTGCCCTTTTTTTTTCTCTTTATTTCTTGCTTCGTCTTTGCTTTGGAAGCAGGCTGCAGATTGCAGAACTCTGTCATACTGTTCCTCAGTTTCCTTAGCAGGCCATTCCCAGTTACCACGTTGTATGTGAAAACTTTGCTACAAGCTTTCGCAGATTGCTTCATGGGTTGGTCTCCCTAGAGACAGTGATCTTTCACTTCCTGGGCTTTTCTGGTTGTTGCCTAAGGGAGGAATACATAAAGTAACAGATAAAGTGTTTATTTAACAGATATGAATGGTTTAAGGAGTTGGATCTGAAGTGGTATGCTCTGCCTGCGGTTGCCAACATGCTCCTTGAGGTGGGAGGCCTGGAATTCACTGCATGTCCTTTCAACGGCTGGTACATGGGAACAGAGATTGGAGTGCGAGACTTCTGTGATGTACAGCGGTACAACATCCTGAAGGTAATCTCCTGAAGTGGGGAGAGAATGGATTTGTTATTAGTTCCAGTCTGCTGCTGACAAGGCAATGGAGTCCTGGATGTTAGTTGCATGTCTTGGGCTCCTTCCCTCTGCAAATTAATAATAATGACTTAGAACCAGATGCTGTCATTCCCTAATCGTTTGGTCCAGCAGAGCCCCTCTTCCTTCTCCAAACCAGAATAGAGGTCACATGATACCTCTGATACCAAGTCTGTGTGGCTCTCACTTTCTCCAGCATAAGGTTGACCTTTCTCGAATATTTTTATCTGCACGTTAATGTGAAGAGGTGGAGAAATCAGGACGTGTATATAGAGCATAGTAAATTTGCTTTTCCCTTTTCTCTCTCTTTTCCAATTATAGGAGGTTGGAAGAAGAATGGGACTGGAAACCAACAAACTTGCATCACTGTGGAAGGACCGAGCTGTTGTAGAGATAAATGTGGCTGTGCTTCATAGCTTCCAGGTAAGTCAGTGAGTCTGGTATCTGGAAACACTTTGAATACTCTGTTTTTTCATTTCACTTACAACAACAGCTTTATACAAAGATAGTGCCAGTGCCAACACTCAATGTACAGGAGGTTACCAATATAATTCCAATGTACTTATTATCTGTCTGTGTCTGGGAAAGCAGGGGAATGTAAATGCCCTGTTGTTGCCAGAAAAAAAACTCGGATAGAGGGGAAAGGGAGAAAAAAACAAAAAGGAAGCTAAAGGCAAGATTGTTCATCTTATTAGCCCAGATGTCTAAGTGTCAAAATCTACATAAAGCCATGGAATTCATGTATTTCATTCACAATTACAGTCTTTTTAAGGTATCATGACATTATGAAAGATGGGTAAAAATGAAACATAGCCTTTTCAGCATGCATTCTCAATGCTGGAAAGGTAAAATGCTGATGTTAAAAATAAATAAAAAAGGACTTAATAAAATTCTTAGTCAGAGGTCCACCCGTATCTTCATTTTATAGTTGTTAGTAATAAATATTTCCCAACACTGTATAAATTCCTTGGAATATTAAGCAAGCAAAAGGATTACTTTAACTATGGAATGGACTTTTTAAATATATATTTCTCTTTTTGCAATTATTCTAGCAACAAAATGTTACTATCATGGATCATCACTCAGCTGCTGAGTCCTTCATGAAATACATGCAGAATGAGTACCGTGTGCGGGGAGGCTGCCCAGCTGACTGGGTGTGGATTGTGCCTCCTATGTCAGGGAGCATAACTCCTGTGTTCCACCAGGAGATGTTGAACTACGTCCTCACTCCCTTCTTTTACTACCAGGTACACGTCAAAAAAAATAAAGATTCTAGCACACAACTTCAGCAGTGCGGATGATAATGTGAGATACAGAAGAGTCTGAATGAAAAGCTCCTATTACTCACACTGCTCTTAGTCTTGGTGCATACAAATCAAAGTTTGCTGGATAAATTCATAAAAGAACAAGCAATTTCTCTTTTACTGCGTGAGACAATTTTAGTTCTGTTGAATTCCTAGGCTATAAATATAATGCTATTTAGTGCTGTAGAGATGGTCAGTGTTTGTACAGGCAGCAAATCATAGATGTAGATCTGTCAAATCTGTCCCTTTCACCTGTGCACAAATTGTGTATTTGTTGTTTCGCATTTCTTATCTGAAACACAGTTTTTTTTTAATTGAAGGTGGATGCATGGAAAACACACATCTGGCATGATGAGACCCGTCGGCCAAAGAAAAGAGAAATAAAGTTGAGCATTTTGGCCAAGTAAGTTGCTCAAATAAACGTCATGATTTTGTTGAAATATTCTATTTTTCTGGTGCTTCCCTTACACATTTTTTGATAATTATTACAGTAGGGATGACTTGGTTTGTTTGAATTATAGACTTGCATGTATATGCTTAGGTAATGCTCAAATCTAATGTTCGTATTCGGGGCTTTCTGTATTGCATTGCTTCTTAGCAATCTTCCAAGGAATACCCATGCTCAAAAGGAGCCTTATCTAGGAAACTGCTTGTGCACCAGCCTGAGTTTCTACACAGCTATGTTCAAAGCGATACATGATGTGCTTTCTTTCCTCAGGGCTGTACTCTTTGCGTCACTGCTCCTGCGAAAAACAATGGCAGCCAGGTCCAAGGTGACTGTGATCTATGCAACAGAGACTGGGAAATCAGAAACATTAGCCAGCAGTCTGTGCAGTTTGTTCAGCTGTGCCTTCAACACTAAGGTGAGGAAATACAGGTCACTTAAACTAAACGGAAGATGAGGTTTGCCTAGATATATCAGCTTCTGTGAGATTTTTCATTCTCTAAGCCTGCGTTTTGTATGTCTGCTAAATGTAAGTTAGATCTTAGATTCTGACTTCTTTCATATAGAATAATGCCTTGTAAATTTGGTCAACAGTCATCTGACAACAGAGAGATCTAACACAAGTTCTTATGTCACCTAGCAGTTTCTCATGAGCTTTATATCTTCCAGATTCTGTGCATGGATGAGTACAACATCAGTGACTTGGAAAAAGAAACTCTTCTTTTAGTGGTTACCAGCACTTTTGGAAATGGAGATTCTCCAAATAATGGAAAGGTACTGCTTGCCTCAGAAGCACATGGCAACTCAGCTCAGAGAATGCTGAGATGAGCACCTCAGAGTTCTTTCTGAACCAGTCATGGACCTGAGGGAACAGCATGAAGCTGCTTCAAGGGAAATTAAGACTGAGAAATAGGAGAGGGTTTTTTACCATGAGTATAATTGGGCACTGGGACAGGCTACTTAGGGAAGTGGCCATGGCACCAAGAAGCTGCAGTTCAAGATGTGTTTAGGCAACACTCTCAGATGTATGGTTTAATTTTTAAGTAAACTTTTGTAGAGCCAGGAATTGGATTTGATTATTCTTTTTGGGTCCCTTTCATCTCAGGGTATTCTGTATTTCAAAGTCAGTCTTTCATTTCTATGTATGAAAGTAAGGTGTAGATCAGAGTCTCACTTCTCTTTTAAATGAAAGAGTATTTTTCTAACATTAAATGTTTTATGAATTTTTATGCAGGCATTAAAGAACTCCTTGCTCACCATGAAATTGCTGAGAAAAAAAATTAGGTAAAAATAATTTGTTATTTTGTTTACTTAAGATGAATTCTTTTGTTTTTCATTCACCATAACATAGTGATCTTATTTGCATCTCCTTCTGCAGATACGCTGTGTTTGGCTTGGGGTCCACCATGTATCCTGAGTTCTGTGCCTTTGCTCATGCCATTGACCACAAACTGTCCCAACTGGGGGCTTTGCAGCTCACTCCAGTGGGTGAAGGAGATGAACTCAATGGTCAAGAAGAAGCCTTTCGCACATGGGCAGTCACTGCGTTCAAGGTGACTACATAAATATCTAGCTTATGTATTAGTTAATTCATTCATTTCAATTATTTTGGTCTTTACTGGCATCCCAGGGAATAATGAAGGAAAGCAGAGATGGGCTTGCTATCTGAATTTTAAACTTCCCTTTCATCTGCTGGTTATCTAAATGGAACGGAAATGAGATCCCTTTTCTGTAATTTGTTAGTACTCACGTAGTTCCCCAAAAACTTTTGGATAATGAGATGCCCAGTAAAGTAAGGGCAGTAGCATCAGACCTCTAAATTTTGCTAAGTAGATCTTTTTTTTTTTTTTTTTTTTAGCAAGATTGATGTAGAAGTGGAAACTTGCTGAAATCCTATAGCATTACTGAATTCAACAAATTCAATAAATAACAACAGTCAGTGAAACTGAAATCTCCCCATAAACATAGCACCAGCAAATGAACAACAAACATATGACAACACTAAGAATATTTATTTTCCATGAATAGTCATAATTACTACTTTTTTCTAGACTGCCTGTGACATTTTTGATATCCGTGGGAAAACCAGTATTCAGTTACCTGAGATGTACACATCAGATGACAGCTGGAATCCTAAGAAACACAGGATAGTACATGACTCTCAAGCCATGGACTTGACTAAAGGTATTTGTTCTGACTTTCTGCTTCCTCTATCAATTTTACTTCATTTACTTTATGTCAGAATTGGAAAGGTTGTCTGATGTTGATAACAGTCATACTATAGCTGGATGGTAGAATTCCTGTAATGAAACAGTGGTCAAAGGAAAAAAGATATCATTTTACAGTGAATAAGTCATTACATCTTCCAGCACAAAAGCATCAGAATACCAGATCTGGTATACATTTTGACAATCCCAGAAGAATTAGAGTTGAGATACTTTTAGTCAGAGAAGCTGTGCATAGAGGACATGTGGCTGATGAGAAGTATATGGTGTTTTAGAGCAGGTGGTTCAGTTCTTTTCTCTGAGTTCGTGGAAGATTTATTAAACAAACCTAGTGACACAATTTTTCATTAGTCATGTCCTCTTTTCTCAACAGCACTGGCAGACATTCATGGAAAGGATGTAATTCCCATGAAGCTGAAATTCAGACAGAATCTTCAGAGTTTCAAATCCAGGTATGAGTCCTCATTTCTTTGAATATTGTACATTATATTAAAATCTTAAACAATTAAAATATTTTGTTATAAGCATCTCTTCCCTGTGTTACTGAGAAATATACTCAAATTTTGTACCATCCTTAGTAGAAATGAATAATGATCACCAGACCACGACAATAGTAAGGGACTTCGCTTCTGTGTAGATAGTAGCTGATTTCCCAGTGAAGTTTCTGGCAGCAGAGGGGACTAAATAACCTGATGAATATGGCCCTCTGATATCCACTAAATGTGAAAGGACAGTGTAAGGTCCCTCTCCTTTGCTTGATCTGCTACGTGCCTGACAAATCTTTACTTCATTTAGGAAAAACCAAATTGCCCCTTAATAGAGGGAAAAAAACAGTTGAGGGTGGAAAGAGATTCAGTACAAGAAGCTGTACTAAAAGCAAGCTGAGATAAGACAACATAAAAATACAAAAGGACAATAAGTGCACGGCATCTGTCTTAGAAATAGCATCCATGAATGCCTCTTCAACATCCTCCAGGAAGTTTCTCTCATCCCTGTTCTAAATGCAGTCATCTTACAGGATGTGCTCTGAGCTGCTGTAATGTGTGAGCTATTCAGTCTTCAGTAGAGCTGCACTTCCTGCCATTGGCTGACTGCAGGCATGCTGGACAGATCAGGCAGCACTTCAGCATCTTATTTGTTTTCATAGAAGTCCTTCACATGTCTATACTGTTTTTGCTTAAGTCTCCATGAATTACTAAGCTGATCTGATGATTTGATAATGAACAGTAAGCCCTTGCCAACTGTCACTTCACATTTATGTCTTTTCTATGTAATTTAAGGGAATTCCTGTCAATGTAATCATGATCTAAATGATCTCTTTTTTTCTATATCTAGTCGTGTTACCATTCTAGTTAAGCTTTCCTGTGAGTCTAATCAGGAAGTGCACTACCTGCCTGGAGAACATATTGGGATTTTCCCAGGCAACCAGCCAGAATTAGTCCACAGCCTCATTGCACGTGTTAAGGATGCCCCTCCAGCTGATCAGACTATCAGACTTGAAACCTGTACTGAAGGTAAGTTGGTTCCCTTCACATTTGATAACAGAGGATATTTGATGGGTTTTCCTAAAATTCATGAGAATTTTAATAGGCTGAATTTGATTATATTATCCTCCTTTTAAGTTTCATTAGGATTTTGCTGATGCTTTTAGGTATTTCTCTAATTCTAGATTCTGTTTTTATGTCCTAAGGCAGTTCATGGTAACTTCACCAGCATTGTCCAATATTTTCGGCTGACACTATTTGTGATTCAGTTCCTAAATTGGTTATTGACTGCAGTGAAATTAGTCTACAGTTTCCTTATCATCGTTACATATCAATGTGTGTATCCTTAACATGGATTTACATGTCATGACCTTTTTTTTTACATCTTAGTAGCTGCAGTCTGTGAAATCACGGGACTCTTAACACACAAAAAGATAATTTCCATCATACTTTTTGCTTAAAACATAGTGCTTTATTACAGAGTGGTTCTCTGCATCAGATTCTCTACTCACAAAAAGCTTGAAAGCTCACATTAACCTGTGGTCCAGATCTGTATGCGACCTAATCAGAAGTCATATTTTAAAAGACACTGAGTTTTGCATAGCACTACAGTTGTTAAATGCCTTGGGAATTGCCACATGATCTTCTACTTCCCTTGTTTCCAGGTGGCTATTGGGCAAGCCAGAAAAAGATTCCAGCTTGCACTCTCTCCCAGGCTTTGACATATTTACTTGATATCACTACTTCACCCTCCCAACAACTTCTAAAAAAACTCTCCCAGCTGGTAAGAGCGGAAGGAGACAAACAGAGACTGGAAGTTTTATGTCATGTAAGTATTAGGCTGAAGTTACACTAAACGTGCTCCATAATGGATCTTTTGGTGCCTTTCAAAAGCAGAAGCTTTAGAAATGCTTGTAGTGATGGTGTTTGATTTCCACTCCTCTGTTACATATGCTGTGAGTGTGTTAAACCAACCATGGTGAGAGAAAGAAGGAGTGATCTTATGGCTTAACCTGTGTGGGAATCAAGAATTTTCTTCAGGTTTGGTATTTCCTGTATGGTTGTGGGTGGGTCATTTTGCCTGCCTGATTCTCTTGCCTGCCCTGGTGGTTTCTGATGAGACACCATTAAAAAATCTCAGAGTTTGCAGAGGGAGAGATTGCAGAGGAGCTGCTAGGTATTTTTATTTTTTCACAGAATTTGATACCAATAAAGTAGAAGCAGTGTCACTTCAAGTAACCAAAGACTCATAGGTGTGGTAACTGCTTTGTTCTGCTGGGATCAGCAAGCACTCAGTAAGGGCTCAACTGGACCTGAGCCTACACAGTTTTCTAGATATCCCATAGCCAGGGGGCTGAAAAGCAGCTTCTACTTTGGTTTCTGTATCCTCTCTGAGAGAACGTATATGTGAGAAAAATTACAGTGGATATTTCTGTTTCCAAAGATCAAACAATGTTTTCAGGAAACCCAAGTATTAGTCTAGGGATGGTTTTGAGAATTCTCTGCTGATTTGCAGTTTATTTCATATTTAATTGAATATAAAATAGGAATCTTATTTTAAAAGTTACTTTTCAAACATCCTTGCTCTCTTGAATTCAGCATGGGGCCTGGTAATATTGTGATAGTGGCTTTTGGCTTTTAGAGCACAGAAGAATACAATAAATGGAAGTTTTACAACAGCCCGAACATCCTGGAGGTCCTGGAAGAGTTTCCTTCTGCTGAAGTCTCAACAGCTTTCTTACTGACTCAGCTGCCACTTCTGAAACCCAGATACTACTCTGTCAGTTCCTCCTGTGACATGACACCCAGAGAGATTCATCTGACAGTTGCTGTGGTAAACTACAGGACAAGAGGTAACGAATTGTGTTTTTTAAATTTCTGTCTCAATTAAATGATATTTAGTCTGTGTTGTGGTTCAGAAAAATCTGTGTATGCTAAATGACATGAAACATATCTGTAACAGAAAGTTTGTGTTGTGATACGTGCAGAATAGTACACAGCAGTACAGATACTCATGCTGTATCAGGATTTGTTAAAATAGTGCATCATTGGTATGTCTTTCTTTTATAAATGATTACTAGATCATTTATATTCTTGTTTATAAGCATAATGTTAAATAGAAACTGTTTTTTAAAAAACAAACAGCTTTTGAATGCTTACAAATAATTTTCCTTTCCTCTGATTAGATGGACAAGGGCCATTGCACCATGGAGTCTGCAGCACGTGGCTGAACAAAATAGCTCTCAATGAAACAGTCCCTTGCTTTGTGCGCAGGTGAGTGTATGCCATAGGAAGAAGCCAAAGAACATCATGGAATAAGAATGGTTAGGCAAATACTTGCTGTATAATTCTGTGAAGCTTCTTTCCCTAGATGCCTCCTGAAGTTAATTCCCATGAAATTTTCAGGAAACTAATGGAAATTTTATTGGATTCTAATGAAGGAAATTGTTCAGTGCTTTTAGAATTCCATTCAGACACGTTTTCTTAGTTACTCCCAAGTGTTACCATATGTCCTGTGGTGCAGATGGGTTGGGGAGAAGGAGGGGGCAAAGGGTAGAGGTGATCGTGTACTGTTTTCTAACATGTATTTCAGCCATACCTTGTGACCTCAGGTGAGGGCTGAAGCCAATTGTATCTACAAAATCACTGATGGTTACTCACCTAAATCACTGGGCACTTATCAATGTTTATTTTGTAAAAAAAAACTAGAGAATCTGATTCTTCAGTCCTTCAAGATACATTTATCCTCTCATACAAAGCATAATAAGAGAAGATTCAAAGCAGCAGAGATGATCACTAAGTATCATTCTGTCAGCTTTCTAGGAATACTTTTATTCTGAGTTTTACTTTACCTAATTAACATATTTTTGCATGTTAGTGCTGATGGATTCCAGCTCCCAAAGGAGCCAGCCAAGCCGTGCATTCTTATTGGCCCAGGAACAGGAATTGCTCCATTCAGAAGTTTCTGGCAGCAGCGTCTCTATGACTTGGAAAAGAAAGGTACTTACAGGGACTGCCACTTGGGGGAGGCCAAAACTCATCCAGCCAGAAGACATCCATAGTCCTCCAAAGAAAATCTGTTCAGGTGGAGGTTTTGTTTGGAGAACTACAGAACTGGTGGGGACACTTCTAAACTTTAGCTAAGTAACTACCAGTGTAGAGATTTGTCATCACAAGGCTGAATCAAACATTAAACGTTAGCCAATAATTCCATCCCACATAAGACCATTCTGGTGGTCTTGAGGTATTTGGTCACCCACAGGGAGTAGCCTGTGTGTATAAGTACTACATGTTCTGCATCTGCTCAGCTCTCACAAAGGGGCCACAGTGCAGAGAGGAAATGCTGTGGCCTGTCTCTATCATCCTGCTTGGGAAATGTGCTTCAATAGGTGATTCCACATAGTACTTTGAAGTATCAGGCAGATTCAGTCCTAATGCAGACTTAAAATCAGGAGCTGTCACTCATGCACACATACTCCTCAGAGTTTTAGCAAGAAAGACTAATTAGAAACAGTGGTTACATTGCCCAACTAAGTTGATGTGGCAGGGTTTTCTCTGGGGACGGTGGTATGAGATAATGGGCCTTACTAGGCAATCCAAAATAACTCTGGTATTGGTTTCAGGGATCAAAGCTGGTGACATGATATTACTGTTTGGCTGCCGGCAGCCAGATATGGATCATATCTACAAAGAAGAAGTTGAAGAAATGAAGAGGAAAGGAGTTCTGAAAGAAGTTTTTACAGCTTACTCCAGGCAACCTGGTCAACCTAAAGTAAGGCTGGTTCTTTTGTTCTTTAAGAGCTGGCCCCTTTAGGAAGAGTCCCTCAAGTTAATGTTTGGGCTCTCTTTAACAATTTTATTGAAAAACAGAACAAAGCAAAACAAAACTGTTAGTGTCAGTGCATTGTGAACAAGTGACAAAAGGCCCCATTCCTCCAAAGCAAAGGAGCCTCTCACTGTTCACTTCTGAATGAGTAGCATATATGTACATATGTATTTTAAATCCTCACTGCTTATTGATAGGTGTAGTAGACATACAATTAAACCTTTGAGTGCAAAATGTCCTTTGAAATTAGAAGCTGGAGCACTTTTGCAGGATATGATTAGCCTGTGAGTTGGAAATGAGTTGGCTCCATCATTTGTCACCATTTCAGTACCCTTTTTAGCTGTCTTGCCTCTCCAGCAAGTCAGGAATCTTTGGCAGTGGTAATTGGCTCTAAATAAAAGTCTCTTAACGTACTCTGATTTAATCAAGGACAAGTCCAGCCTTCCAATCTGGGGATTGTGGAGAGAGCATTTAAGATATTTTTCCTCTCCTTTGCTGTTCTGCAGCATATGGAATAGTTAGGATGTATCGAATCTTCCTGTGTAGGCCCACTCTAAATTTAGAAAGTATTATTAAAGAGAACTTTTCTAATGATATTTTTTCTGTTTCTAAGGTCTATGTTCAAGATATTCTTCAAAATGAGTTGGAAACCAAAGTATGTAATATCTTGCATAAAGAGGAAGGGCATCTGTATGTCTGTGGAGATGTACGCATGGCCAGAGATGTTGCTCAGACTTTGAAGAAGATGCTTGTAAAAAATCTGGACCACACAGAGAAGCAGGCAGAAGAGTATTTCTTCCAGCTAAAGGTATTCTGTGATGTAGAAGGCATTCTTTCCATTCAGACAGTGCTCCAACACAGGTTTCAGAGTCACACTCCAGATCTTGCAGGCAATTAGTTTCTTTTCAGCAGCATGCTAAAGAAAAGTGCTTAAGTGCTAAGCTGATCAGCTTATTCTGCTCACCACTGTCTAAAATGCATGGATGCTGTTTGGTTAGGTTGTATGAATGTCATGTCATGCTCCTCTCTTACATACTACATTTTGCCCAGCATCCCTCTTTTGATCCTGGCGATTAGCTTTGCGATGTCTGCAGAGCATCAAAAGTTTGACACTTTTTTGTACCAAAATAGGAATGTGACTTTCAGAAAGTAATGGGGCAGTCACTGAAAGCACAGTGTCTGAGTATGGCTGGCTTTGTGGGACTGTTCTGTCAGCAGAACTTGTCTGGAGATTGTGTGTCTGCAATTTGGTTCCTTTATTGGCAGCAAGAAAGTCCACCATCACAGAATTAGTCATATGAATGCAACTTAAATGTCACAAAAAGATTCATCTCTTGGTTTATGTTTGTTTTCTTCATCAGAGCCAAAAGCGATACCATGAAGATATATTTGGGGCTGTGTTCCCACATGAAGTCAAAAGAACATAAGAGATTTGCAACCCATCAGTCCAGGCACGGACCGACAGTCTGTACGTGATATTTGCACATTTGTTGTTGTTTTCAAAAATCTAGGGATCAAATCCTCTTCTTTATTCCAGCTAAATGCTGCACATCTGATGGTAGGATTTGACTTCTAAGCTTTAGCCTTAAGTAAGAAAAATATAAAATTTATCTTTTGTTGTTCTCAGACTTCTTTTAATAGATTAATATTGAAGATGCCAATTATTTTTTTAATTCTATCTAGGTTAGTATAGGTCTGTCATCTTTTGCAAATACAAAACATATAAAAGCTGGTCACCAGGAAAATTTAGAGGTTTTTTTGCTATTAGTGACATTTTTTAGTTTTTTGCTATTGCAGGAAGTGATTTTTTTGTTGTTGTTGTTGTTTTTTTTTTTAATGGACTATTTATCTGTTTGAATTTATTTATATTATTGTTTTACTGTGCATATTATCTTCAAAGTTGTTGCACTTGGAAATGTCCAGAGATTTGTTGTATCTGAAGGAACTCTTGCAAATGTGATAAAATACAACAGCTTATGAGTGGAAATACCTGCTGCCTACACTTACACTTCAAATGCATACATGTGAGGAGGTAGCAGTTTGATTTCTGCTCCCTGTAGTTCAGGTACACCAACCTGAATTTTTGTTGTTACAGAGCCTATAGTAATGAGGTTCAGAAAATTCAAAGCACTTTGTCCATCTGATTTTTATGCTCTGACTTTACTTGATTTGTTTGTAATAAAAGATACCTTTATTATTAAGACAAACAGATTGGTGTAGTTTAAATGTACTTCTGTGTCCTATTATCTTCAGCCTAAAAAAGTGCAGGTTGGTAGGTAGATGTAGGGGGAGTGCTAGAACACAGCCTGAGCTGATGATTGAGGACCTGGTGAAGGGGGGGCAGGGATGGTGGCCAGGAAGCGCAGGTGCAAGCAATTTTCTGAGCTTCCCACCTGACCAGCAGGGGTCTGCCTCCCCTTGGGTTCATTTAGAGCAAGCCTTCGATGGCAGAATGCTTCCTGGGTGGAGGCTGCTTCTTGAGGAGGTGTGTTTAATAGCCAGAAGACCCTCTTAACCAGTTGGGTGAGTCAACTTCCATCTGCGTGTGATTATTGCTATTTCTAATGATGCTTTGCTTGGTGTCACAAAGAACTCATCAGAAGCAGTTTCTCTGCTTCCAAGGGCTGATGTGAGGTGTTCTCCAGCCCGCACTCTCTCCTTAAGCAAAGAGCCCATCTCTGTGAGTTACACAGCCTGCCTAAGATGAGTTATACGGTCTTGTTACTTCTGGAGAGGTGTGAATCTTGCCTTCTGGATTGTGAACTAAAGAATGCAAAACAGCAATTGGAGCAATGTATATTGCCCTAGTTATGTTTTGAGTTTGGTTCCTGTCCCTTGCAGTTCTGTTATGACTTCTTTTCCTAAAATCAGCAGGAATTTATGATGGCATTAAAAAGCTAAAGGTGAGATTTTTTTCTGTCATCCTTTGTCTCCAGGAGCTGGAATCCAGTGAAGGATTTGACACTCAAAAGTCAACAGTGTCACGTATGTGCAGTGTGTTCCACGTGTTCTTCAGGACAGCTTTAAACATAAGATGAGAAACGCAGCGTAGTTGAAAGGCTGTGGGCAGTGATGATGGAGAACAGGAAGTGTGGGACAGCAGAGACAGAGAGAGGACAGAGGAGGTTCATAGCAAGTATGTGGATGTTATTTCATGCCTTAACACATTCTTTGCTTCTGAAGTTTTGAGGTGAGGTGCAGAACGAGGTAACTTCCATCTCCATTTAGAAAGCTCTCAATAAGCCCAGGACTCTCTGAGCTCTGGGCTTCAAATAAGTCCAACATAGGCAACAGAAGTAAGTTCTATATTTTAAAGTGTTAGTGTGTGCCTTGTGCTTTCAGGAGGAGTATTGCAGCACAATGCATTTGCCATGTGTTTAACAAAATAGATGTATTTTCTTGCCAAGAGTACTGGTGAAGTGGTCCCCTCTGGCTTTAGGGTTTAAAATGCAATTGAGTGTTACATCACCGCTGTCTGGAGCTCTGAATGGTCTCTGTGCTTGAGTTTTTCTTCACTGAGATGGGAATACTTGTTGACTGAGGAAAGGAGGGAGGGAAGCTTCTGTTGCTTTTCAGGGAAAAGATTCTTGGACTATTCACTGGTGAAAGACAAATGCTTTAAAAACAAAAAGAACTTCAAAATCTTGACTAAGATGTAAACAAATATAACAAAAATGCACAAGTCATATACTGTGTTGCACAAATCCCGGGTTAGGATGTGCTCTGAGGCTTTCAGCAGGAGGCAGGTGATGATGCAAATGCCTCTGGGCTGGGTTTGCTGCTCTTCTTTGGGAAAAGGCATTGCCTTGGGTTGGTGGGAGCTGTGCTGCAGGGCTGGGATGTAATAATATAGCCAGTCCACAGTGAGCTTCCCTTTGCAGCTGGTGGGATGTAACCTTCATGCTTGAGGTTTAGGGTTTTGTTTTGGTTTGGTTTTTTTTTTTTGTATTTTAATACATGACCTCATCCTTCAAATTTAATTGATAATTACATTCATTATTTCTTTTTCTTTATGAAAAGCAACAAGGCTCAACTTATCTGAAGGCTTTTACTGTTTGTGTATGAAAGATCTAGATAAGATGGATGAAATGTAAAGCTGTGCTTTAAAGTGCACTGTCCTTTTCTCTGCAGGGCAGTACAAGGCTGTTGTTATTTTTGGAGTAAAGCTGTTTGGCAGCAGCACAGTGACCCTGGGGTTAACGGATTAATTAACACACAGCTGAGTAACGCTGGCTGGAGCTGGGGCACACGAAGGGGAAGGACAGCAGGCTCTGGGGCAGGAGGCAGCTCCCTCTTCTGTGGCAGTGCGTGGCTGCAGGTGTGCAGCCTTCTTGCAGCTGTTGGTGCTGATCAGTGCAGGCTGAGTCCTGTGGTGATGTGGGCATGAGGGCTTTCTGCTGCTTCCTGGCAGCACAGGGGGGTGAATTCCTCCAAAAACAGTGTGGTGGCCTATGTGGTGAGCTGGGAGCTGAGAAGAGCTTTCAGCAAGGTAATGTTAAGATCCCTTTTACTGAAGCTCGTTGTGTGCTATCCTAACTGAATGACCTGATCCACCAAGAGCTCTGCTCAGAGCTCAGGCCCTGCTGTGCCCCCTTGGCTTTGCTGAGCAGCTCTGAAGTGCTGAACTTGCCCAGCCTTGCTCCCAGCATAGTCTAATGCTCTGAGAAAAGTCAGCGTTGGAGTTCCTCAAGCCAGGTAACTTGGCTCACTATAGCAGGTGGGGAAGCTTTCTGGTGCATGCTGAGCAGCTGCAGTGCTGCTGGGGCTGTGAGGAGTGGTGGGACCTGGAATTGTGCAGTGGGATGAGGAGCTGCTGAGAGTGGGCACTGGGTTCTCAGTGCCATCCTGGTGCTGTTTGATGCCCTTTGTGGTGAGAATTCCAGTGATCATAGCAAAAAGGAACTTGAACAGCATCTCAGTTCCATCTGTTAAAGAAGTTGAAGAAAGTTTGCCAGCTGTCCTGCAGCTGAAGGGCTTTTGCATCTGACTTGTAAGAGGAAACAAAATGATCCTTGTCTGCAGGAAAGGTGTGCTGTTAGAATATCAGCTGGGCAGATATCAGTGATAGCTCAAAGCAAATGGCCACAACTTGAGTCAGTGTGGGGAAAGGGGCTGATGGGGGTGACATAGTGCTTTTTTTCTGAGGACTTGCTATCACAAACAAGGCTCCAAAAACAATTTTTATTCCTCCCTGGCTGGGCTTTGCAGGACTACAATAATTGAGGGGGAAAAAGATGAGAAAAAAAGAATGAGCTGCTTGTGCTTTAGTTTGGCTACAAGTGTGTGTGTGTGTGTGTGTGTGTTGGGGGGGGGGGGGAGGGAGAAAGAAGGTCAAACCACAATTCTGTAACACTTGCTTTATCCAGAGCAAAGATTTATTTGCTGAAAAGATTCCTATGTATCCAGTATTTTATTAGCATAATGTGCACTTTTTTTTTCCTTGCTGGTTGCATAAACTAATACAGCAACGGTTGTTAATACTAACAATTTTTAATTTAATAGCAATTCTGGAAGACACTCTGATAGAAAATATTTTTTAAAAAATTTACTGTACAAAGTTTACAACACATTTGAAAAGAAAAACGTGTTAATTTTCACCATATTACAGACTCCATTTACATTCACTATTGATGTGTGGCTATTGTAGCAGCATTGTACAGCCAGCTTCACATTTACACCTCTACAACAGGACAGGCTTACTGTGCTTCGTGCCTCACACCAGCACACGAGGAGACACATGGCCATAAAGCAGTGACCCAATGCCTGCTGCTCAGCTGTGGCAGAGAGATGGAAGCGCCTGATTTCATTCACAGCTGTACAGCTGCACAGTTCTGTTTGACTTCCATGTGCCTTACACAGCTGACTGCAACACATTACCCCAGACAGTAACTGGCCCTGCTCTCTGGTACGCTGGGTTTTGCTTTTAAGAACCATTTATGGGAGTTAAACACAAAACCAAGGAAGACTCAGACTGAACCTCAAACTTCATGATTTAAAGGCAAGCTTTGAAACCCTTCCTGCGGCAGGATGGCACTCCATCAGCCTGCAGTGCTCATGGGTCAGCCCCATCTGCTTTCAGCACACTGCAAAGTGAAGCACCAAGGGACAGGCAGCCCTGCTGACACAGGTGTAGCTGCCTTGCTGGAAAGCAGGGTCAGCACAGCATTCTGCCTGGAAACAGCCAGGGTTTGAACCTCACATGAGGGCAGTCACACAGGGAGAACAACGTTTGGTTTTTAATTTTATTTTGTTGTAAGCTGGATAGTCTGTCCAACCAGCCATCCTATAGGAAAAGATTGAGAAGGTCGTGCTTTCTCAGCATTGTTCTTGCACATTGCCACAGCAGCATTACTGCTGACAGCCAGGTGAGCAATCACTCTTTCCTTCCCACAATGAAAGCTCTGGGTTTCCCAAGTGAGACAGGAATAGCAGTGAGAGCATGCTGTGGTGCAGAGGGGCTGCTCGATGCAGTGCGTGCATCCAGCAGCAGCTTCTGCTCTCCCTAAGGCAAGGTACACTGCTGCCCGTGGGTTCATAACGTTGCTACGAAGCAGGTTTCTCCTGGCTTTTACTGCACTGTCAATACTTAAGTGGTACTCGGAAAACAACCTCTGTTTAAATCTGTGACAATGTTATTGTGAGAGAGCAAACAGTAGCAAGGCTTGAAGAGAAAGCAGGTGGTGGCTAAAAGGGCACTGTGTGCTGAGGGGCCTATTTGCTTTTCTGAGGTGGTAAGAGGGAGGTCAAGAGAACCATGTCTCCATGCTTGGCTACCACCAAACAAATTCTGTTTTATATTTGAGGCACATTTAAAATCACCATAGCACAGTGAAGGAGTAGCTGGAGTGAAGCCCTCTGCTCAATAGAACTTCTTTTTTTCTCCACTTGATTTTCTCCAAGTCAGCTGCCTGTAACCAAACTGAGTGCCTATCACTTCATGTGCCTCGTGGAGGACTTCAGAGCTTTTCCCTCTGTAATCTACATTATAAAGCCTTGTAATGGTGGCAAAAGGTAGAAAAGAGGCATGTAATGTACTAGTGTGACTGGAGAGATGAAATTTGGTGACTTTCAGGGAGTCCTAATGAACTACCTTAAGGACAGAAGGGCTCTTTAATGTCCACTGCATAATTAGAGTTGTCCTGCTGCCCTGGCTGACAGGCGAAGGCAGAGGAACAAGAATGGGAGGTGTGATGGAACATTTAATGCAGCTTGCAATTCATTTGCAAGTGAGATAATGCATCTGTTACCTTAAATGCAGAAATAAGCTGTGTCCTTTATCAGTCTGTGTATTGCACATTGTAGCATGTGGTTTCCTTTTGATTTTGGGGGGCTGGGTTTTTTCTTGGTCTTAACCTTTGAAATGGGTCTTGGATTGACTCAGGTTCTCTGGAACAAAATGTAACTTTCCCAGCTGCAAGGGTTTTGCTGTTCTTAGTTTTCCTCAGAACTGCTGAGTCCTAAATTTCTTAAATTCTTGCAGACTTATCTGACTGTCTGGAGGAGTGTGTGTGCGCACAGGGGAGAGAAATGACTTTGAGTCTCTTAACAAGCTCTGTGTATCAGAACAGTATGTTATTATACATTGTTAAGGGATGGCTTTTTCCCTTGATTTTCTTCCCTCCCTGGAGCTCTATCTAGTGAAATATGTTCTTCTACAAATGAGATTGCCATCAGGGCAGCAAGGGGTGAGGTCTGGCAGTGCTCTGGTTCAGGGAACCAAACGGGTTGTGCCTGAAGCTTCCCAGGAGCAGCGTGGTGCCCAGGAGCTCACCTTCTCCAGGGGCAGCCAGCTGGGGTGGCCCTGCCTGAGCGGGGCTGAAAGCGGATGGACCCAGAGGTCCACTGCCACCCCAACCAAGCCGACGCAGTTCTGTGGCAGGGCAATTCAGCTTTTCTTGTGAGTTCTGTGTTGAAGTGCTCAGTTCTGTTTCAATGAGATAACTGTATGTTTGACAGCAAACTCCACTGCAAGAAGCAGATTTTTACTGCTTTAACTTAATTCAAGCTAACCCAGGGCTTGGACCAACCTGCAGAAACAAACCGGAGTGATCACAAACTGAATTATCAGTTTGGATAAATCACAATGCAATAGATAAATTTTACCTTAACAAGAGAAAGACAATTTAAAACTCCCATCTCCTTGTATGAGATACGTAACCATTCTGAAACAAAGCGGTTCCACTTGTCTTAGGGAAAAATGCACTGAAGGCAGAAGATCATTCCTAGTTACACCACAGACGCAAACAGGAACTAGAAGGAGGTTGGTTTCTCTTTGTGCTAGTGGAATGGCTGTAGTTAATTGATTTGCTGTTTATTGTGTTTAAAAAAAATATATAGTTCACGCAAAAGTATCATGTAAACATTCTTTAAATAACTGCTGGTGCTCAGGCAGAATTCACCCTTTGCCAACAACAAAGGACTGTTAATTGATGGTCGTGTGGCTTTCAGCTGTGGCTGCACCAGTTTCATAGCTTGGAAAATTCAGTGAAGATTTCTTTGTGTGTAAGTAGGTAGACATTATCACAAGACAACCACACACCATGCTATATCTTTTGATTACTTGGTTCCAGGATTCCCAAGCCAAATCTCTCAAAACGCAGGACAACTTTGCTACTGTTAATGCTGAAAAGAGTGAGGAAGGAAAGGAGAAAGGAGGGGAAAAGAATTATTTATTGTTGTTTTTTTGTTGTGTTTTTTTTCTCCCCTACAAAGCTACAGTCATATGAAAGTAAATGGGTTGGGCTCTGCTCTCATGCAGTGAGAGATCACCCAGCAGTGTTTAAAAATTAAGCAGCAAACATTTGAATTTATTCATGCTAACCTCATTAGTGAAAGCATATGGCTCAAATTGGCAAAACAGGAGGCTTTTAAGTACCTAACCTAAGGTGGGTAGAAGACTGACATAAA